CTTCTCTCCCTCCTTCTCTCTCTTTTATACTATTCTCCACTAAATCAACCTTCTCCTCATTTTCCTCGTCTTGTTTCTGTAGCTTCTTCATTTGCTCACCAACCTTAACTCTCTGTTCTATCAGTTCATTGTTCAGTTCTGTCAGTGTATCAATAGTCTGTATTAAATCCTTCTGTTCTTCCTCTTTCTTCTTGAGATCTTCTCTTCTTCTGTCCTCCTCCATCAGAGACTGCTGTGTCTTTGTGTCTGTGAGGAACACAAGCAGGACCATGAAGGACTTATTATCACACAGAAAGCTGTGGAATCACATCACAGAGTTCTGCTGAGAGGCCAGAAATGATTTACAATAATGATGAATATTTCAAAATAAGAGGAATGTTCAATGATTCATTTTACATTTGAGTTGAATTCATATTTGACTCACCTGTTATCTTGTGTCTCCGTCTCCAGACCAGAAGGACAACAACGATGATGACAAACAGGAAGGCAAACACCACACTGAAGGCAACACAAGGAGTGCAAACAGCAGGAGTGCAAACAGCTGGAGCCACAAAGAAGTCCTCTGGAACATCAAGAGAAGAACATTTACTCAACATGAACGTTTCATCAGCAGGAATCTGATGGTTGTTCTTCTAGAAAGTCTTCTACCTGGAACCGTGATGAGAGTCTCTCTGGTCTGGTTGATGTTCCTCTGCTGGACTCTACAGGTGAAGCTGTTTCTGTGTCTCTTCTCCACCGTCACGCTGCTGCTGACACTATAGAGGTCATCAGGACCTCTGAGGGTCTCTGGAGGTCCAGCAGAGAGCAGCTTCCCCTCAGCGTCCAGCCACAGCAGCTCTGGCTCCGGGTACCAGCCTCTGGACTCACAGTGAAGAAGCACTGCGCTGCTGGCCAGGTGGAGGCCTGCTAGGCTGATGGCAGGAGACGAGGCCGCACCTGATCTTATCAAACACAGGTTGTTGGTCCAGAAGGTGAAGCAATGATCCCCCCGTCATCCTGTCTCACTGGAGGGGCTTCATGGAGGGAACTCACTTATTTTAGGTCAAACGTGAAGTTTTGTTGAACAAAAAGTTCATATTTTTTTATGTATTTTAACCACATTGTGATGTTTACGGGAGCGTCCAGTAAATGAAGACTTAAAGTCTGGAGCAGTATGAAGACCATATTGAGGGATACAAGTTGTGTATGTGAGACATGTCCTCAGTCCACCCACCTACAAGCAGCTGGACCAGATGCTCCTGGTTGGGTTTCTGGAGGTAGCACCGGTACGTCCCGCTGTCAGACACCTTCACGGAGGAAAGCTTCAGAGAGACGTCTCCACGCTTCAGCCCGCTGCTGGACAGTGAAGTTCTGCCCTTGAAGGCCTCGTTCTGGCCAGTCAGCAGCTCCTTTCCATCGTGCCACACGAGGACGAATCTGGGCTTCATGTCCGCTCGCCCCCACTCCATCGTCATGGAAACAGCATCCGCGGGGGGGTCCAGCAGACAGGGCAGAACGACGTCATCACCGACCATCGCCGTGACCAGCTGAGGTGGATCGATTGGCAGAGAACCACCTGGGAGACGGTTCAGATCATTGGAATCCATATTTCCATCTAAAGGTCTTTGACACCAACTGGTCCAACACGCTGAAGGATGACGTGTTAATATGTAGTGTGTAATTCAACACATGAACAGAAGCCTGACCAGGGGACACGCACACACGTCATGTCCATGACTGACCTTCTGTAGGTGAGCCCCCAAGCTACAGGCTACACACTCATTGTGTGTGTGTGTGTGTGTGTGTGTGTGTGTGTGTGTGTGTGTGTGTGTGTGACTTACCTCCAATGAAGTGTATTAGGAGAAGGAAGGCGACAGCAAGTCCGTCCTCATAGTGAGTCATCCTGGAGTCCTGAAGATTCAGACACATTTCATATAAAACAAAACGGAGGTTTTATGTTGTTTACAACATTCACTATTTAGCTGCATAATTAGTATTTTAATATTTCTGCAGCAACATCATCTTAAACTGGAACCTCTAACAACTAAATTTGAAAAGTAACATTTCTGACAAAAGGACGAGAAGACAAAAGCTGACGTTCCAACAGCCCCTTCAGCGAGGCTCCACCTCCTTCCTTCATAATCTGTTAGCTTAGCATCAGTGCTTTTCACCTGCCACAAGTTCACAGCGAGCGGATTAAGAGAAAGTAGCAGAGAAAACAGCTCTTTAATGTCGGATTCTAAATGTTACCTGAAAAGCGTCTTTGTCCTCTGCTCTAACGGTCCCTGGGGGGTTGGTGGAGGGAGGTGGGGGTGTAACTGAGTTATCAGGAGCGAAGGCGGAGGTGTTACTACGACCTCCACCACAGACGAGTCCAGGCTGAACGTCTTAAATCATTCATGAATGTAATGACAATGTGCACAATAATTAATACACTTTAATGGAAACAGCTTACAAGTAGAAGTTAAAGTAGAAAAGTCACTCGTACCTGAAGTGTGCGTGTCGCCTCAAATGAAGACGGGGTCAAAGTGCGCTCATAAACGTTTGTTACTGTGAACATTAACAGTGGAAGAGGTGTGGTCGCTCTGCAGTGCAGGAAAGAAGAATTCACCCCCATTTTGTTCAAACAGACTTTCTGTTTCTGATCAACGCAACATGATTAATACTCTGAAGGTGCAAAACACCGTACAGTTTTTTTTTTAATCGCTAACAAGCAAATTTTGTCACATTCTCAAAACTCTAAACACAATTAGCACAGCATCGGTGTTCTGTGGCCAAACAATTCACACATTTCATGTTGTTTTCACACAATATGCAGTCAGTGAACACATGTCCACAATGCTTACATTAATCTTAACAGACAAGTCAAACCTCCCAACAAAACGATGGATTGTTTTAGTAGTATTCACAAATGTTAACACACACCATCCCACAATAGCAAAGACAATATTCCAAACCGTTGATACAGTATAAAAACCTCTGCTTCTGCAATGATATCAGTTCAAAAACAATACATCTCAGCTGATAATGAACAAACTATTGAATAATTGACAGCTGATTTATGTTGGTAAATCAACAACAGCTGATTCCAGTCTGGCTTATTTAAGGAGGACTTTGAGGAGTGAGGCTGTTGGAAACAGAAACAGAAAAAGACAAACACTGTAATGTCTGGAAGAGAAAGAGCAAGGGGCCCAGGGAGAAGACCAGGTCCAGTGAGAGGTGCAGGTGAAGAAGGAGGTGCAGGTGCAGGAAGAGGAGCAGTGAGAGGTGCAGCAGGAGGTGCAGTTAGAGGAAGAGTAAGAGGTGCAGATGTAGAAGGAGGTGCAGTGAGAGGAGCAGGTGCAGGAAGAGGAGTTCTGTTCTGCATGGAGGTGGAAGGTTTATGACCATCAGCCACGTGACCAGATGTCCCTCCTTGAAGCCATGGATGCTGGCTGCAGGGACATCACAGTTCACGATGGCCAAGGGTGGATCCGACATGCCAAGTGGTTTTATCCCAGGTGCATCGCCTTAGATGATGTCAGATGTGATGTTGAAGAAAACATGTGGCCGAACCTGAAGATCGCAGGGATTAGATGCACACATTGGTTGCCATTTCCAGTTCCCCCCTTTTCATCGGGGCTTTTGGCTGTTGTTTTTTTTCAGAATGCTCGCGTGTTTCATGGATATTTTGTTAAAATAAAATAAAACTTTTCTGTTCTATTATACTGTTTCTACTGAACCGTCTTTGGTAAACAGTTAAGAAAAAATAACTGATTTGCTTTTTACTGGAATGCGTTTGAATGTGAACATTACTGTACATGTGTGCATACAGTTCCAACCCAATACATTTAGTGTAAATGGTGGATTGCATGTTACCTGAAACATAAAAGTCAATTTTTATAATGTCAACAATAGCCAGAATTTTGAAACCTGCTGGACTTCGTTTGACTGCATGTACCTTGGGAAGTGAAAACAAATGTTATTCTTTGACAGAATCATTTCATTTTGAGTCAGATTTCCAGTGTTTTGGTAAAGTTAGTGTGTGCAGAGAAAGATGGGTTCTGTTTTGAAATGAAGAGTTAGTGTATATTTAACAAAATGTGTTTTTGAGAAGAAAATGATCAATTTGGCCAATTTTGTCTTGTAGGTGTGAGTCTGTGTTTAGAGTTTAGAAAAAATTTCTGAAGTATGGGTAAGTGCTTGTTAGCGATTGAAAAAAACTGTAACACGTCATCCTTCAGCGTGTTGGACCAGTTGGTGTCAAAGACCTTTAGATGGAAATATGGATTCCAATGATCTGAACCGTCTCCCAGGTGGTTCTCTGCCAATCGATCCACCTCAGCTGGTCACGGCGATGGTCGGTGATGACGTCGTTCTGCCCTGTCTGCTGGACCCCCCCGCGGATGCTGTTTCCATGACGATGGAGTGGGGGCGAGCGGACATGAAGCCCAGATTCGTCCTCGTGTGGCACGACGGAAAGGAGCTGCTGACTGGCCAGAACGAGGCCTTCAAGGGCAGAACTTCACTGTCCATCAGCGGGCTGAAGCGTGGGGACGTCTCTCTGAAGCTTTCCTCCGTGAAGGTGTCTGACAGCGGGACGTACCGGTGCTACCTCCAGAAACCCAACCAGGAGCATCTGGTCCAGCTGCTTGTAGGTGGGTGGACTGAGGACATGTCTCAAATACACAACTTGTATCCCTCAATATGGTCTTCATACTGCTCCAGACTTTAGGGGCTGAACCTTTAGGTCTTCATTTACTGGACGCTCCCGTAAACATCACAATGTGGTTAAAATACATAAAAAAATATGAACTTTTTGTTCAACAAAACTTCACGTTTGACCTAAAATAAGTGAGTTCCCTCCATGAAGCCCCTCCAGTGAGACAGGATGACGGGGGGATCATTGCTTCACCTTCTGGACCAACAACCTGTGTTTGATGAGATCAGGTGCGGCCTCGTCTCCTGCCATCAGCCTAGCAGGCCTCCACCTGACCAGCAGCGCAGTGCTTCTTCACTGTGAGTCCAGAGGCTGGTACCCGGAGCCGGAGCTGCTGTGGCTGGACGCTGAGGGGAAGCTGCTCTCTGCTGGACCTCCAGAGACCCTCAGAGGTCCTGATGACCTCTATAGTGTCAGTAGGAGCGTGACGGTGGAGAAGAGACACAGAAACAGCTTCACCTGTAGAGTCCAGCAGAGGAACATCAACCAGACCAGAGAGACTCTCATCACGGTTCCAGGTAGAAGACTTTTCACTTCCAGTCAGCGTTTCTTCTCACTGCTAATAACCCTTCATGTGATTTTGATTTCCAGCTGATCTCTTCAAGGTAGAAACCAGTTCTGCCGTCCGCCTCACCATCTTCTCTGCTGTTTGCATCGTGGGGGTCGTGGCGGTTGTCCTTGTTGTGTGGAGATGTGGAAAAGAAGAAACCAGTAAGTGTGAACTTCATTTCTTGGTACTAAAACCTTCTATTATTTGAATAAATCCTGCATATATATATTTATATATATATACTTCACAATGAATGCGCTTCGTGCTTTGCTTCACCGTCTCGTCCCCTTAAAAGCTTCTCTAAGCAACAAACAAAGTCTGAACACGTCTCATATTCACACAGAGACCACGAGCAGCAGACCAGAACCAGAACTTCAGCCTCTGACGGAGGGAGGAAGAGACACAGAGAAGAACATGACCTGCAGTGAGGAAACATTTGAAGAGGACCTGAAGGAAAATAGTGCAGAATTAGAACTTCTACAACATGTGGTGAAAACTCTGATGGACCAGAAGAAAGATCTGAGGAAGCAGAGAGAGGTGCTCATCTCACAACAGCACGAGAACCAGACACAGATTCAAGAGTTCAAGAAGAAGTTAAACCGAATGCTAAAAGGGAACACTGACAAGAGAAAGAAGAAGAAATGCAAACTAGAGAATCTTGAGAAGAGGGAGAACGAACACATGAAACTGTTACAGAGCACACAGGAGCTGCAGGATTCTACAGAGGAGATGATTATTAAGATGACAGAAAGGACGGGCAGAATCCTGAGAGATCAGGAGAAAATAAGAAGCAAACTCCAGAAGACTGAAAGAAAGACAGAAGAGATTCAGAGTCCACTTGAGTCACAGAGAGAAGAGGAAGAAACCTCAAAGACATCAGTGTGATCCTTGGACTGCTTACTACACAAACCATGTGACCACACCTTGAACCATGTGACCACGCGATGAACCATGTGACCACACGATGAACCATGTGACCACACAATGAACCATGTGACCACACGATGAACCATGTGACCACACCATGAACCATGTGACCACACGATGAACCATGTGACCACACGATGAACCATGTGACCACACGATGAACCATGTGACCACGCGATGAAACCATGTGACCACACCATGAACCATGTGACCACATGAAGAAACCATGTGACCACACGATGAACCATGTGACCACGCGATGAACCATGTGACCACACAATGAACCATGTGACCACACCATTAACCATGTGACCACGCGATGAAACATGTGACCACACCATGAACCATGTGACCACGCGATGAACCATGTGACCACACCATGAACCATGTGACCACACCATGAACCATGTGACCACACAATGAACCATGTGAACACACCGTGAACCATGTGACCACACCATAAAACCATGTGACCACACCATGAACCGTGTGACCACGCAATGAAACCATGTGACCACGTTGAACTTGTTTACTCTGCTTATCTACTGGTCATAAAGTAACTTTGTTAATCTACGACCTTATTTTATATACATCGTGTTGCATAATTACCTTTTTCAGATATATTGTGTATAAAAATATACTTTTCTTTTTTCTTGGAAATGAGTGTGAGAATACACTAAGTTTTTGTATTTTTCATAATATACATTTCATTATGTGTTTTACTTTTAGAGAATTTATAAACATTCACAATTATTGTACAACACTCACATTTTCTAATCCGTCAAGACAAACACTTGTAATGTAACCTGATAAAGTTTGTTTGTTTCTAAAACTGATTTTGTTCTTGATAAAATCCTTTAAACCAGGACGAAGCAGCTGAGCTGCTAAAAGTAGACGTGAGTTCTGACTCCACAGCGCAGACGTATTAATTCATACAGGACACAGAGACACAGAATCCGACTTGACCTTTAACCTTTAACCTGCTCCCACATCCTTCAGACTAGAAGCCTGAATAACGTTTAACCTGAAAGCTGTCAGAATATTCACATCACATCTAGAACTACACAATGCTAACATCTGCAGCAGATGCTGGAGGACCTCCTGAGGTCATGTGACCTTAAAGGCCGTAGAGTCAGCAAACATTACGTGTTTACCTTTGTGTGTTTATGACGACAACAATCAACATGTTGGAAGTCAACAACGTGGACGATGGATGGACGGATCAGTGGATCATTTCAGGTTTATTTGGATCTGAAAAACGACTCAATTACATTTACACACTTCTACAAAATAAGAGCGCAGGTGTGTGAAGTCTGGACAGGAAGTTCCTCATGAAGTAATTATACCTTCACAACACATTCATAACAAGACACACTTTGGTATGAAAGGAAATGACATGTGACAACTTGACTGAAACACTTTATTCATCAGGAAGAAACGAGGTCCAGCTCATCTTCTCACGTTCTCCTCTTCTTCACTAGTTTCATTATCTGCATTTTACCTCCACTTTGTGATGAACACATGAACGCACACTAGTACTACAACTACTACTACTACGGCTAGTACTACTACTACTGCAACTACTACTACTACTGCTACTACTACTACTACTACAACTACTACTGCTACTACTGCTACTGCTATTACTACTGCTACTACTGCTAGTACTACTACTACTACTACTGCTGCTACTACTACCACCTTGTACATGTAGTACTGCTCTGTGTACTTCTACCTCCTCTGAACTAACAAATCAGAAGTTATCAAGTGAAGTTAAAGAAGATCAGGTGAGATATTTGTATGAAGGAAACTGACTGTGTGTCATATGATTCCTCCCTCCTCTCTCCTCGCTCCTCCCGA